GAGTGACCACCGCCTCGGGGAGGAGAGACCGACCCTCGTCCCGGATCGCGCCCCGCCCCTGCCGCGTACAGACGGCGGTGGACGCGCTCCAGCGCAGGCAGCGCCGCCTTTATTGCCGTAGGGTCAGCTGCCCCCGCGCCGGTGCCGCGGCAGCCGCCCATCTACTTGGCAGGTGCGCGGTTCGTGTATGCTTCGGCAGTCTCAAACCACGCCTTCTCTACAGCTGCTTGGCCCACCTCAAACATTTTCATTAAGTGCTTCCACCCGCTTTTGGCTGTGATCATGAGGTATTCCTTATTCTCTGGGTACCGCAGAGCCGTGTGGGCCGCTATGACAAGGGACTGAGAAAACCTCCCGCTCACCAAGAGAAAGAGGGCACCCCTCTCCTCCTCCGTGAGCGGCAGGACGCTTTCAAACCCTGCGAGAACATGCCCTCCCACGCTCAGGGGATCCGGGCTCTCGATCATCATGTACATGATGGCTATTGCGACTTCAAATACATAACACCCGTAGCTCATGTCACTAAAATCCAGGATGCCGGACACTCTGTACTGAGGATTCTCCAGGGAAGCAGAACTGGAGTCTACTAGAATGTTGTGGTCATTAAGATCTCCATGATTGATGCCTAAACACGGAAGAAATAGAAACAGTATTTAATAATCATTAAACAGCAGAATCTAACTTTTTTTTCCCCACTTCTCAATGAAACAGCTTTGAAAAGATGCACAGAGGCTCAAACTAACACTCAACTACAGAACCATACTAGCCTCCCTCCGCATCGAGCGTTGCCCTTCACGGCCTTACTGCTTCCTCGGAACCTCCGTTCCACCAGCAGGTGACCAGACAGCAACTGATAAAGGGAGCGTTATGAGGTCTTATTCGGGTCCGGTACCACCCCGTGATACGCTACACGTTTTCCAAACACAGAATAGCAGTTTTCAAATTGTTAAATTACCATCAACGTCAATGCGAGCTGAATTCAAAAAATATGATTAAATCGTTATTTGGGCCTTTATGAAGGGCAGTAGCGCACTCCATATATTCTTATTAAGCCGATAGAACAACATCACCTTAACTGGAAGCAAACTCGTCAGAAAGATCAAGAACTGAACCTGACTCTGGACAGCACATTGCTCCTGGCTTATTCTGCCCTGTGTTCATTCAGCACAACATTTGCACGTGTATCCCTAGGGATAAAGGGGACTTATTTTTGCCTTTTTTCGCCTTCTTCACAGACCCAAACCCCTGTAAGAAGTTTCAGTGTCTCAGTTCAACATAATTACAATGAAAATAAAATACTCACAGGCTCGAAAGCTGCTTAGCTTGGGTATTACTTTCCCTTTAAACTGCTCAATAACTTGTTGCACAACGTCACGATACTTGTTCTGGCCCAAGGCATAAATGTACCGATCCAGAAGGGGAACGTTCGCCAGGTTCCAAATGAACTGACCTCGATGCAGACTTTTTACTGATGGATGATGGAATTTCTTTGGAAAAAGCACAAGATAAAGTAGGCCATAAGTAAAAATCCTGGTTTTATGATTAAAGGGCTTGATTCAAAGCCCCTTTTAACTTTAACAGGCTCCTAATGAGACTCGCTGAAAAGCACCATGCTTTTGACTATCGCTTTATATCAACAAGTAAAAGAATAACCTGAAGAATGATGAAGGCAAGCATCTGAATATCTACATACAACCCGAATGGGTTTTTCCCCATTCTTTAAGTACAAAGATTATCTTAAGTCATTCATCACCCAAATAATTTAAAACTGATACTGCCTTTCTGTAACGTGACATCATGTACCGACTTCGAGGCCTTGCCAAGGCCAGAGTCCTGCACTGGCAGAGCCTGGATTGCACAGCTGGCGCTACAGAAAGCTGCCGGGGCAGGAGAGACACAAAACCTGCCAGCGTGCTGGGAACAGGCACCCTCGGTGCATTTAAAGGTGGCAGCATCTGGGGACGAGCCTTGGGATCAGCTGGTAGAAGAAAAATCCTGAGGACAGAAGTACTTTATGGAGATACTGGACAGAGCTTTATTCTTATGAAAATTTGCCTTTGTACATCCAGGTAGCCTAAATATTTTAAACAACAAGGTCCCTAACCTGTCTCTCACTAGCCAATGAAAAAGGTGGTTTGGAAAGTGACATTCAAGGATGAAAAGCATCTCTCCCACCACATACCACTCTTATCCTTGAATCCTCTAATGCTTATTAAGGTGGCTTGTGGGCCAGATTCTATCAGAGCATAGGGCAAATAAAAAAACCTTCCCACTGGAGTATCTGGCTTCCTCTTAAAAAGAAACCCATGCTTGCAATTAAGCCTTTTAAAGATAGCTAAATGATAGCTAAACTGGAACCGTATATGAAAAAGTAAGGAACGAGATCAAGCCTAAAGCAAAAATCACAATACAGGATCCCTAATGCTGTATAAAGCACCACTCTGGTAGGAAGAATGTCATCTGGTAAGCAACCACTGCAATCTTCCCAGCACAAACAGGGTATTCCAGCAAGCTGTAACGGGGTTACCAGGTGTGTGAAGGATAATAAAAGGTCAGGGGCCCTTGGTGCTGTAAAGCCATAGACTTTATGTCTTTATGGCTTTACACCCATAAACTTAACTTATTTCCAGTTACAGGATGTGAGGCACGTCCAAGCAAAAGGAGACGCCAACAGAGAAAGTGGTGGAATACTGTTTTGTGCACAAAACAAAGCACGGCACATCATTGCTATCGAGCTGACAAAATAAATTAACTGGGGAGGAAAGACAGGCTGTATTTTCTGATCTGTCATCAGAATATTTAATACCTTAGGTATTATTTTTGGTGTCAACGATATTTTGAAGTTTTGACAGTAATTATTGTAATTTTCTTTCTTTGAAATAACAAACCTTGGTAGATGATAATCCATATGTTAAGGGCATAAAGACCCTTTTCCATCAAAATCTGCTTTCTCGTCAGCTATTTCCTCCTTGGCGGGACAAGTCACAGGCATATTTTGAGACTAGCTGGTCTATATAAATTGTTTTAATCGCATTATAAGAGTGTGGCCAGAGTGTTAGAAGGCAACAGTAAATTATCGTTCCCAATTGAAAAATGCTCTTGTAATTTAAGAATGTGGTTAGTAAAGCTGGCAATTCACATTTCATAATTGCCTGAAGCCAGTGGCCAGAACATGAGAAGGAAAGGTTAATGAAAGGCAATAAATAATGCAAGAGTTCTTTTCTGTATCAAACTTAATTACTGGCTGATTTATCAGCTTTATTATCCTGTATAATTACAGAGTAAAGAAAGAACTTACTTTGCATTAAGATTATTTGACTGGAAGCAGTACGAATGAGAGAAGGGTCACAAATCTCTGTTCATTGGCACAGCTGGCATCGTAGAGAAGGAACCAACTGCTGCCAATGTTAAACGGTCACAGTTCTAATGACCAGGAGAAAGACAGCAAGTCAAAATGAATTCAAAATAACAGGTCAGCCAGCTGTGCCTGATGTGCACTGCACAAAAATGCTTCAAAACAAGCTTTACGTGCTTCTAATTTGGGCAGCCTGGGGTTCACTCTCCTGATTTGCCAGGTTTGAAACACCAAACAGATGAGTTCTGCCTAAGTAAAAAGAAATCCTTATCTCCCTGTTCATGGTACAAAAACGCATTGCAAAAGGATCGCCAATACCATGTCATAAGCACCAGCTGGCCACGTTATTTGGGGAAACGCTTTAGTAACAGCCAGCTTGGAGGTTGGCACCTGAAAAATGAGTTAACTGACATCTGCATTCACCAGCTTGAATTTTGCAGATCAGGAAAGCAGACAGCAAGCACAAGAAGAAACACGGAGGAGAAACTAATTGAGAAAGAAGTTTGTGAGGCCGGAGCAACGAGAACTCACCTCTGAGAGAGCTTTATCCAAACTGGCAGCTAGCTTACCGATCTCGTAGAAAATCTGAGTATTTGTTGCAATTTTTGCTACAGGCGTACCTGGCAGGTAAGTCAGCAGTCTGACCATGTACTTTTTGTTCCCAGGTCCACTGTCTAACAAGCAGAGAGAGAGGCGGTCAGTCGCTTCAATATATGCTATTGAGTATTAGCTAATGCAAGAGGCAAAGAAGGTCTATCCCAGTGCAGAAGCCATCAGATGTAGCTGATAAAAGAGATTTCATTCAAAGACGCGATTTGCCAGAACGTTGTACGGTGACGTGCAAACCTTAACACACTTGCAGTCTATGCTGGACTTCCAGTCCTTGTGCCTGGGATTGACTCTGCATACAGCAGGTTTCCTCCAGTGCCCGCAGACACCCACTTACACAGTTTTGCAGCAGAACAGGAGGTCTCAGGAATCCCAGTTTTTGTACAGAAGTTACAGTGAAAACAAAAGCAAAATGTCGACACAATTTTTCTTCCAAGTGCTGTTAAAGCAATTTGTTCTGGCATCATAGATGGGCTAGAACTGTATTTTACACCATTCTGTAGGCAAATAATCTGTAACATCATTTAGTCAATGAGGCTTTTTTTTCCCTTTCTTGTGCACGGACAGGTTAGATCAACGTTTTCTCCAATTCGTTACACTGAAGTTATTTCCTGAGTGCTTTCATAGTTAATTATTACTCTCTTTGACTTGCTTTGCTTCTGGTATTTTAAGTTTGGACTATTATGGCTGGACATACAGGTCACCTGATACATATCCCCTAATATTTAAAAATAAGCCTAGGGTTTTACTTTAGTATATCTACGGCCCGCCACATAGCAAGCTACTGCCAAGCTAAGGGTGGCAGTAGGACAGTAAAGGCGCTTCTAATTGCTCACCTCCCGACTCCAGAGACATTATGTTACCGTCTTTTGTAAGATAGGGAGTAGCTGAAGGAAAGCCTTCAGCGCTGAGAAACATCATGGCCTGGGTCTGCGCTTCGATGAGGTCGGGCTCCTGGCTGTCTTCCGAATTGGTGATTTTGAGGACATACTCATCAGCGCCGTCAGCCGCACCTTTGTTTCTTGAGACACGCACGTGGAAATTCTGATCGTCGTAGCTGGGGAGTGGCCTGATCCAAGACACCTTTAATCCAAACACCCTGTCAACCAACTCAGTCACTTCTTTTTCACCAAGTGCCGGTTTGGTGAATGTCTGGGGTCGACAGTCGTTTCCAGAAGACATCGTGTCTCTAGGAGAAAAAGAGAAGCTGGATGATCTTACCTGTATTCTGACATCAGAAGCAGTAATAACTGCAACAAAACGCATTCGGGTGCTGGAGAGGAGTTTCCTACATTTATTAAACAAGCAAAGAAAACCCACTAAGCCAGTCCAGGTTTCTTACATCATGGTTTCTTGTCAACTACTTAGTCTGTAGCCCCCCCCAAGAAAGCACTTCTAGAGACATGCGCTCAGTCTGTTTAGAACAAGTAGACATTAAAAGCTTATGCACTAGAAGTAGTTTTATTAGCTAATTTCCAGTAGCAGCCTAACCTGGTACGTTGCTAACCGGGAATGATTTCCTAAGGAATGGAGTTGCTGAATCCCTGTCCAGGAAGTTCTAAATTCACCTCTGCAAAAGACAAGAAACATTTTAGTAGATCTTAACGTTAAAGCAGACGTAATCTTTCTGCCCGGTCTCGGCCTTCAGAATCCCTGCGCTAAGAAACGCAGAACAAACCCACAGACGCTTGCTCCGTCTCTCGCCCGCTCCAGCTCTCGGCTGAGGCTGGACTCGGTGCTGAAAGCGCCGGGCCTCGGCCTTCCCTCTGCGCAAACGAGCGACCCTTGGACTCCGCGGGAGCCGCACCAACCTTTGTCCCGCCCGGGGAGTCCGAGGAGCCGCGGGAGAGCGGCCGTCTGCCGGGGCCCCCGCCAGCCCACCCGCTCGCCAGCGCCTCTCTTGGCTGAAGCGGCCTAGGTTAACGGGAAGGCAGCCCTGCGCCCCGGCCCTGGCGTGGCCCTCTCCTTCAGCCCCTCCTA